ATCCACGTTTGGTGTGTTAACTGCAAACCTCAAACTGTAGTTAGCGGTTTAAGGGAAGGAGTTTGAAGTTTCGAGATTTTCAGCGTTTTAGATCAACGTTCGATTTTCACGCAAGTCTTATTCCACAAGCAGCCAACGAAATGGAGGCATACTTGAGAAAAATCAAGAAAAACAGCGATGTGTTTTTCATGCAAGGGTTCCATTCAATTTCAATTAAACAAAAATGGAAACAGAAATGTTCACAGATCCCAAAATCGGAAGTACCAAATGTGGCCTTAATTTATTAGATTACATCCATTAATCAAGGGTTAATTGGCAAGACTTTTGTTGGAGGGGCCAAGAAAGAAAATTTTACTCCTTTTTGCTTCTTGGGTGGTTTTAAAAATAGTTTGAGGTGCCTTTATGGTTTAGAATGTTTGTCCTCTTGTAAATCTGATTTTAGGTGCTTTATCCTCTGAATTCCACTCCACAAGTTCAACCAGTGAAAGTCCACAAAAAAAAGGACAATGGGAAAAAATTGAACTGAAGACAAAGATTATGGGGACAGCAAAATTGGAAGGTGAAAGAAAATAAAAAAAAATTGCATTTAATTTAATTAAGTTATTACAGACAGCTGTTGTGAACAGTAATAACAATTATGTGACACCTGTTCGAAGAATTGGCTCAGTGCAATAATGTGGCATCAATTAATTAATATAATTGTATACAGTTCCACTTAAATGAGAACAAAACATTTAAAGGGAGACTGTGAATGCTAATCTCTCTCTGCTTTTTCACCCTTAGGTACTTCACCCCTCACTGTAGTACCCACCACTGGTTATGGAAAAGAATTAGAAGAACCTTGGGGAAGAAAAGGTGAATGGGATGCTCTGTTTGAACCCATTTCTAAAGTTAATGTAGTTAAAACAAGTTGCTCATTGTGTTCAGCTAATTAAATCCAAGTGGAAAGTTGTATTTTATTGAGAGTTATTGACTATTTAAGGTTCTTCATGTTGGTTGAGTTTTTCCCTTTGTTATTGGGAAAAAAACCCACTTTCATGCTGATCTAATTGATCTACCCTTAAAACTGTCATCAAACCACCTTGAAATGAATAAAAAGATGTGGGGCTTACTACTTTCAGTTGTTTTTGTTGACATGTTTAGCATGAGTTCCAGTTTGGGTTCAGTTCTCCAGATATGGTCCAAAAAAAAAAAAGAAAACAACATAGCAATTCACTGACTTGTTGTATTGATATGGAAGAAGTGGAAGAATTCATAGGTGCATAAATTGGCCAAAAAAGTCATAGAATTGAAGCTATGAAACTTCAGGAAAAGAGAGGAGAAATGAAACAAGAACCTGAATGTGGTTTTAGTCATCTTTTAAAATAGAAATTAATGTTATTAATGAGCAAGAATGCTTCTGTCAGCAATTATGAAAAATGACACTTGTCAATGCAAATTATTTCAAATGTGTTTTTGCCTCACTCTCTTCTCTAGTTAAAGGTACTGTTGAGTTTCCAGGTAATAATGAAACATTACTTACATATAGACTGAATGCTTTTTTAGTTGTTTTTAACAGCTTCTTTTTCGGGTTTAAAGCATCTTTGTTTAAATAAAGGCAATCTACAGTGTACATGTACCTACTGGTATCTTTAAATACAAGTTGTACACCTGTTTCTAACTATTTATCCGTAGAAATGCTAACCTCTCACTGTATACCTTTGCTTTTAGGCATGTTGCCTCTTCCTGGATCTTCCATCTTTGGTCCTGAAGAAGAACTAGTAGAGCCACGTATGAAACTCCAAAGAATAAAAGGTGAATAAAAAGATGCTGTTACATTAACTTTAATGGTAAAGCTAAACTAAAAATGCTTTTAAATACATTTACTTCTCATTCAAAATATTTTTTTTTGAAATGAAATTATACCCAGTTTAGTTTTCCCTCACTCTGTGTTTTGCTATTAGGGAATATTAAGATGATAGAGGCTGGGGTTGGTGAAACAGTATGTAATGACAAACTACGTCTTTTTTATGTTGGTCTCAAATTATGACTTAAAAAGTTGACAGTTATATAGTTCAGGTAGATTTTGTACATTGTTTACAATCTGTTAATTTCATGTTGGTTTGACCTGTTATCATATTACTATTAAAAGTAACACCATGAATTCCTCTTTGTACTTTTCCCCTTAAGGTTGACTCCCATTACTGTGGACACCCTTGGGGGGAGATTTAGTGTCTGTAATAGCAAAAAGTTTGTAATAATGGGGTACAAGAGAAATAAACATTTGTTTTGTTTCTTAACATATGAAATAAAGTTTCCACAAACTAGAAAAAGATCTGGCTATAAGCAGAAAATTTCATATGTTCTCACCCAATTGAAAAATGGTTTCTTTATTTCCCTTTTTCATAATGTCGGTTCATAGCATATATGCTGGTCATGATTTTGGACAGAGTAAATAAATGTCAGTTATAGCAAGAGAAAAAACAA